GWSGAAAAATTGGGGCCAATACCCAGCATAGGCTTAAGCTGGAAACCGGGTCCAGCGTCCCATGTCCCGAGAGAACTCTTCCAAAGTTATCTTGAAGCTCAATTAAAATTTTTCGAATTAAAATTTTCGAAAAAAATGCGGGGGGAGTAGAGTGCGGGGGGGGAGAGGCAGCACGTGCACGGAAAGCGGAAAGGCGCGACCGGGGCAAAGAAGGGGAGCAACGGGGGAGGGCGCACGGGGGGTTAAAAAGCATCGCGCGGAGGGGGAAAGCAGATCGCGCGAGGGGGGTGTAGAATGATGATGATGATTAAGATTGAGGAGGAGGGAGGGAGGGAGGGGGGGGGAGGGAAGAATGATGATGATGATGATGAAGACCGAGGAGGAGGGGGAGAGGAGGAGAATCAAATCGAAATCGATTCGATTTCAGAATCGAAATCGAATTGATTTTGGTTTCGAATTCGAAATCAATTCGATTTCGGGTTCGAATCGAAATCAATTCGATTTCGGGGTTCCGATTTCAGAGAACGACCATGGGGGGAAACGAAGGGAGAAACAACCGAGAAGAAGAGGGAGGGAAGACGAGAGAAAAAAAGGAAAAAAAAAAAAAAAAAAAAAAAAAAAAAAAAGCCCGTAGTCATCAGCGATCCAGGATCGTTAATGATGTGGCAGCGACGACGATGATGTGACGACGATGACGATGGCGTGGCAAGTGGCGACGATGACGCGGCAGTGTCGACGACGAAGACGATGATGACTCCGCGTCGATCAGGGCGGGCGGGAGGGCGATCCACACCGCTCCTATACCAGTGTGACGAGGCAGAGGCAGAGCAGCGAGGCTGGGAGAGAGAGGGAGAGTGAGAGCAYACACACACGCTCACTCAACTCGAAGCAGACTCGACAGGACGGACGGACGCAGACACAAAGTGGCAAAGTTGCAAAGTCAGTCTTGAATTCCCAAACACAATGTCGAAGCAAAGTCACACTGAACACAAGCACTGAGGCTGAAAACTGGTTGCCGTACTGTGCTTGAGTCCGTGCTTAAGTACCGGACTCAAGTACGGTCCTGAGGGCAAAAGTGAACATGCCTCAGGGCCAGAACTGAAAATCGAAAGTCTGAAAGTGGGCGCCCGAATGCCGGATGGCGCCAAGTGTCTGAAATCCGAAAGTCCGAAAAGAAGGAATTTTGAAAACGGGCGCCAGAATGCAGATGGCGCCAACTACCTGAAATCGGAAAAGGGACGGCCTTGAGATATTATCATTGAGCTGACCGGCCCCAAGCAATTCATTAGTAGTTGGTTTCACTTGTCAAGTTCCATCATCTGGATTCGAACACAGGTCTGTATTTCAACAGTTCATGGATGTACCCACTGAGCTAGGCTCTTGGGTCTGAAATCGGAAAAGCAAAAACAAGGTAAAATAAAACAAAGAATCGTAAAAAAAAATAATAATAAATAAAAAAAATGCAGCAAGCTGGCGGGTGGTAACTCGGAGACCAGGGATAGAGCCCTGGTGGAGTCCGTAACAAACGGGGTAGATTGGAGAAGAGGTGTGGTTGCAGGGACAAGACTGAAATTTGGCTACTGGTGCAAGGAATATGAGACTGAAATTTGGCTACTGGTGCAAGGAATATGAGCGAGAGCCATAGACAGAAATCCAACTTGCAAAATCACGAAGAAACTCCGATAGTCATGAACCAAGCAGAGAGTGCAATGCACCAAGATACCGTCCAAATAAGAGCAATACAATGAACTCGGGTGTCAATGTCGCTACTCTCTGGTCACACCAACACAGTATCCAATGTGGCACTTAATGTCTGGCGCCCAGTGCCCAGCCTATCCTACTCAGCGTATCTAGCCTATCTACTTTCCTGCAACTGGATCACTATAAAGTCGAAGACCAATGTACGTGAGGTCAACACCAATGCCGACCACCAGCATACACCAGGTAAGTTCTCTCTCCTCACCAGCATGCGCCTCCTACCCGAAGAACACCTTCGCCATCACCTGTCTTCCGCCCTTGCAGCCCAGCTATGGCTGCAGTGTGCCTGCTGCCCTGGCAGCGCCCCTCACCTCTACGCCCGTGCGCATATTCGACCAGCAGGCGCATGCAGATGCTAGCGCAGCAACGCAAAGGCGTGTCCGCATTGTCTGCCAAGGCCAGAATCACTCCCTCTGGGTTTGCCTCTTTCCTTTATGGAAAGTGCAGCCCGTGTGTGTCTGCGTGGGCCTGGCTAGGAAGTTTCCAGTCGCTTCCAGTTGGGCCCCAATGTCTGCGCTCAGGCCCACCTCTACAGTTAGGCGACCCGGGCCTCGTGCGGGTAGACACTCTCAGGCAGCCACTGCAGCCTCCAAGTGTTCGCTGCTTCCTCGTTGGCGCATGGCCCAGGTGTGACGACAATGCTGCCTTCTCATTCGTCTGTGGCCGGTGCGTGATGTGTTGGCCTCACACTGTGTGTGCCCAGGGCGCAACCACTCGGGCCCTGGACTCAACTGTACAGCGCAGCCCATGTTTCTGGAAAGAGCCTGAGGGTTCACGATTCTCTGTAACCAAACTGCCGTGCTGCAACTGTCTGAGTACCCCACATATGGAAAAATGTTGAAATTATGCTTCGCATGGATATTCAGGCCCACCTTCACTTAGGGTGGGCACAGGACTTGCCGGCGGCCTCAGCCCAGATCACGTGCATGGCTGACAAGGGCCCCGCAAGGGCTCATTCCTTCCATCCCATCCTCCTTAGATTCGAAAGTCCGCTGAGATGCTTGTACGCAGGTGCTTTCCCCTTCAGTCTTCGTTAGTAGTCTGCCAGGATCTGACGTGCTGTCATAACAAGCTCCTCCTTTGTGAACCAATGATCTTCCTTGGGATCCGTATGATGCCTGAACCTGACTCGGTATTCCCTCATAGGTTTGGGCGGTCTTCCCCTGCCAGCATGCTTGGGAACAGGCAGTCCTCTGTGTTCCAGGATGTCGTCGACGTCTACGTGGCCATCCATGGTTGGGGGCAGCATTGACCTTCTTGTTGGGAACACATCGGTCTCAGCGAAAGGTGCAAGCTTTGAGGCGTGAAACACAGGGTA